AGACACACAAAGTAGTACTGACAGCCATAATTTCAGCGTGTGGTAAAACGGTGCAACGTTTTCATGGACATTTAGCATGTGAAATTACAAATTACATATTTGTGTGCACAGTGGGAAGCACTATCCAATAACATTTCTTTAATGCAAATTCGGAAAGTATTTATTATTGGTCACTTGATAGGCACACGGTCTTGTTATATATCACCATTAGCAGTAAAAAGAAATGCATGTTTTCCACCAGGGCAGTAAAATGTGAAGTTTAGCTGCTGATCTGAGCTTCTCTGCTGTTACCGTTTCATTACCAATAATATTCATCAGCTGTTTGTCTCAGGAAGGTAACGGCACATTTCTGCCCACGTAAAGCCATAACAGAGCGCTGGAGAAGAACTACATGAAATTACAATCCAACTACATATTTTTTCTACCAGCGCAGTAAAAGTTTAGCTGGCTGATCTGAGCTGCAATGCTGGAAGCTGCTGTTTTATTGCCAATTAGCGATCAGCTGATTCTCACAAAGGTAACATACAAAGCCAAAAACAGAGCGCTGGAGAGAGAGAGAGTCACTACATGAAATTAATCCAACTAACATAACACCACAAGCCAAAGCACAGCGCTGGAGAATAAACTAAAAATAAATGTTTTTCTACCAGTCGGTAAAAGTTTAGCTGGCTGATGCTTCATGTCAAGTCTCTCGTGATTATGGTCAGCTAATAGCTAAAGCTATCAACCAACAGTTTTCTTTTGCATTGCTAAAGTCTGACAAACAGTTAATAACCTGTCCAGCAGAAAACAAACAACTTCAGCTCCGCTTTGAAAACATCTGTCACACATTAACATTATAGCCTTCCATCTAGGAAAATCAACAAAATCCGTTATTTCTGGCTCAGCTGTCTGTCCCGACTCCGTCTGGCTGTCGGCTCTCGTGCTAAATAACACGTGTGCTCCTTCAGTTGTCCAAATGTCACTTCTTTCTTACTTCTAATAAACCAGAAGACTACTCAGAGACTGTATATTACTATTATTATTAGTCCCTCTTCTTCTTTGTACGTATTCAATGTAGTGACGGGCGTCTACACTACCGGAATTACACAAGCAGAAGAAGAACGCCATGATGACAAAACGCGCTCTGTAGCGCTGTTTGTTCGTTGACGGCTACGGTAGAAACATGACGACAAAATACAGCGAGCTCCACAGCAGGGGGTGCCCGTGGTTATGTAGATATAAATGTTTCATTCTAAGGTTATAAAAACATAACGGTTCATTATGTAAGGTCTTTATACACCACTGAAAACACAGATATGGATCTTATATTGCATTTCTGTCAATAGAGCCTCAGAAATATTACACACTGGACCTTTAAGGACAGAAACAAATAAATACAATATCAGAAACACTGTAGTGCAATTATGGATAGAGCCGATAAGAGCAGGATGCGCCTGTTGTTTATTCATTATGTAAGAGCAGTAAGGCAGACAGGTTGGCTTGTCAGCTGACAGGTTAGCTGAGCTTCTCCTGTTTCACTGTGCAGATGCTGACCGCGAGTCTTTGTTAAAGTTTACTTGAGGTGGTGAATATCACATATCAGCACTCGACACCAGCTGCTGTACACTCTGGGATTTCCATTTGGGAGGCCCAGTAGTTAAACTCCAATCAGATTTATTCAGAAATGCTTGCATCAGTCCAATTCATCAAAAATGGCTGATGATTAAAAACTCTGATAATAAGTGGTTTATTTTTTGCAAACTGTTTTTGCATTATCACATGGCTACTACTTACCAAATACCATCTTTTGAAAGGAAGAGATGTCTTAATATTTTCAGTTTTTTTACAAAGTTAAAGGTACTGTATGTAAGAATATGACGCAATATATATTAATATTTATATTGCCAATGTGTGAACAGATTGTAATGTAACTTAAAAAAATGTGACCTTCCCTCTGCTGTCCTATAACAGCATGTGGATTGATTTTTATGTGAAGGACTCAGGACAGTTTTTCTGGGAAAATCCAAAGAATGTGATGTTTATGCACGCTCCTGAGTGCCACGTCAAAGCTAATATTACTGCAAAGCAAGTGAAATATTGGAAAATTGTGTTTTTAGCTGGCAAATGTTAGCTAAAGTTAGCTGGCTTGCTAACGCAGACAAATTGATGGCTAGTTAATGTAGCAAAATACTATCTTGAGTGAGTTACATCAGCTAATTCATCCAGAATCTCTTGGCTGATCTCGCTGGTAGATTGGCTGGCTGGCTTGCTGAATTCAGTGTTCATTACAGCGTTCAGTTTGGTATATGTCATGTGTTTAGCCAATACTCGCTCAAGCCTACGGAGTGCGAGCGCAAGCAACAGGATGCTGACTGCAGATCAGTTAACAGGCGTCAAGCGTTTTCAGAAAGTTACTCATAAGACCTTTTATCTGTATAAAACATACATTCAGCATGTTCGTAACCATTGACACAGCTGTAGCTGTATAGTGTAAATATAAGTTGTAAAATATGTGACCACAGTGAAATAAAACAAATCCACTAAATAGCTGATTTTAGCAATCAGTATATTTAAGTTGCATTACGATTCGGTTAAAGAGTTCCATGATAACATGTGGAATAGTACATGTCATGTAAAATATTAGACCAGAGTGCTTTATCGGTCAGGCAATTTGAAATCCTTTATGTTTACAACATCCCAACAGGGCAAGTGATCTCACACACAAACAAAAAGAGAACACCAGCTCATTTACTTTTTAAGCTCAAATATGTGAATGTGTTGAAATCGGCCGGACGCAGTGATACTCCTGACTACTGTTGCATAAGGCGCTAAACCGACACAAGTCTAATCCAAGCTGAGTCCATTCAGCCTGGTGGGCTGCTGAGTCTTTGAGACAGGACTAATCAGACTGAAAATAGCAAGATGTGTAACTGTGTTCGGATTCTGTTGGGAGACTAAGGGGCATTTGGGTTCAAATGAGTTTAGCAAGTACACAGTGTAACGGTCACTCAGCTTGAGGATTGAGTTTATTTTATAATCTTTTGCCAATCAATCAATTTATCACCAGCAGGCTTGTCAACTAGCTACCTCTGGTACAGGTTTCTTCAGAGTTGGTTCACTCATAGTCTCACAGGGCCACTTCTTAATATTAAGTACACACACTCACTTTATATCTCCCATAATTCCAATCTACATACAAGCATATTATTCTACTCGTTCTTAACAAGTGTTGTCAAATGCTGTACCGGTGTGCACACACACACCCATTACATCCATCATTCCCACAGCCTGTGCCATGCAAGCACAGGATAAGATTAATATTTCCATTAACAACATGTCTGACAGCAGAATATCTCTCTGCAGAATATCTTTCTGCTAGAAAGAGAAGACTGTTTGAAAGAGTAAAATTTTGTGGATAGGAATGTTGCCACTCTTCTGTTAGCTAACAGCAGTGATGTTCTTATTTTAATTCCCCAACAGTCAGTCGTCCCACAGCAGCTGCTGTCACACAGACAGATGATCGGCCGCGCTACTCTCTCCTTAATCTTGGTGTGTGACAGTCGTATTATGGGAGTCCGTTTGGCATTGCAGATGGCATGCTGGGAATTTTTATATTCTGATACCACCAAAGCAACCCCTTTGAATGCATCTCATTTAATGGAGAGCACTACAGGATTTAATTTTCCAAACATTCAGGCTATGGGTGCAAAATACTAATGCTGCTCTCCTGTTGTTTTATAATTATGCAGCCTTTTCTGCAAGTTCTCAGAGGAAAAACTGTCTTCATGCTGTACATCAGATTTTTGAACACTAGCATGTTTTGTTTTGAGTGACAGGGTGTTGGTTGTGAAAAGAGCCGCTCAATAAGGAAAGAACGTAGCATTTTCACTTCAGATTAACCACCGTTTTCTGTTTTATTAAAGTAGCTACTGTTATCTAGAAGGATAAGGCAACAAAGAATTTTTGCATGGATGATGAGGGCACATATTTTGAGTGCTTCCCTGTTTTATAAGGTGCACACACAGACGGGTCGGTGGCTCATGCCCTCCGGCTATGATGCAGTCCAGATTAGTTTTGGATAGGAACATGAATCACGCCTGGATGTGTTTATGAGTGCAGAGGAACAATACATACTCATCCAGCCCTACAAAAGCAAACACATGGAACAAAAGTCTTTACAGAGATTGTTGTTGTTTGTGATGGCAAAAACATTGTAGGAGTGTGTTTGAAGTTAAAATGCATCATTTATGACTCATTATTAGCTTTCTTATTTTATTTTATTACATGTCATGTATAAGAGAAGAGTCTACAGCCACGCTAGCAGCTCTGCGAGGTTGAGCTAAATGCTAACATCAGCATGCTAACATGCTTGCTATGATAATGCTAACATGCTGTTGTTCAGCAGGTATGTCACCATCTTAGTTTAGCATGTCAGTGTTTGCTAATTAGCATTAAACACAAAGCTGAGGTGAATGGGAATGGCATTAGTTTTGTAGGTATTTGGTCATAAGTCAAAGGAAGTTGTTCATGCTCTGGGAGGTTTGTTATCCACCTTTTATGGTAATTCATCCAATATGTGTGGAAATATTCCATCCCCGACCAAAGAGGTGGACCGAGTGATTGACTGATCAACATTGCCAACCCCAGAGTCCTGCTGTTACTGTGGCAAGAAATGTTTTGTTTCACTTAATCATTTGTGTGTTTTTTTTTATTATATCTGATGAAACTGTTTTGTTGCAAATCACTAATGAGCCAGAAAGTATGTTTTGAAATCTTGAAGTTGAGGAAATTGTTGAGCCATTGGTATTGAATGACAATCCTTCCAACCATCTCCAGACTTAACATGGTCATTTGGCGTGATGATGAGGCAGGAAAATTTGTACATCACTGCCCTCTAATACAGAAAACAATGTATGTTGCTGTACTTGCATTGAAGGAACATGAAAGATGAATTCAATAGTGTGTCTCTGGTCATGGTTGCCATTTCACAAAGTAACATATGCTTTGTGTTTTCACAGAGTTGAATATGGAATACAATCCATCGGACCATCCGCGGGCCAGCACCATATTCCTCAGCAAATCTCAGAACGATGGTGAGTAGGTCCGTTTCATATAGAATTTGACTGATTTATCAGGTTTGAAATTGTCCTTTTAATGCATACTAGATTTAAACTCTTCAGCGTCACCATACAAGACCGTCTGAGTAAAACACATTAAAACACAATCAAGATAATGAGGCTCTGGAAAAAAAAAGGTCTGTGATTTCCCATGGAGAAATACCATACTGTATGTAGGAGCTCTGATCTCAGAGCAGTTTCTTTGTGGCTAGCCGCGGTCTGCTAATTTATGCAGTTGCCCAGAGGCATCTGACTGAAAGCTTCAGCATCCTGTGGGGGGGGTCGGTCAGACAGTGACAGAGGAAATATTAACATGTTTCTTAGAGCCATAAACACCACAGCATGAGATCATGAGGCCTGGGGAATAAACAGCCAGACAATGATGTTTTGTGAAGTAGATGAAAACTGAATCTGATAAATGCTCTTTCCTATTCCTGATATTGACTCTTTTTGTTCACGGGCAACTAAATAAAGAAGGAATGAAACGTTGTCTAACAGGGACAAATGAAAGAGCATTACATTTTCTATCAGATGAAAAGCAATGATTATCATTGCTTGTAATTTGCAATATTTAATCTTGTCTTGATAAAAGGTGTTGGTTGTCTGTATAGTCACATCTTGAGATGTCTTGTGCCATTGAGCTGCATTTATTGAAAAAAAAAAGTCTTGTCAATATGAATAAGAAGAGTCTGCAGGTTGTTTTTTGGTCTTTTCACTGTATTTATTGAAAACACCAGCCTTATCTTTTAATTCACTGGGTTTCCAACCTTTTTAGCTCGTGACCCGTTTTACTACCCCTCATCAAGGTAAAAGGTACAAGGTAAATTAATGTCATAGTACAACAGGGTTGTAAAATGAGATGCAGTTTGTAGTTCCCTTTATGCTACAACGCCAACAATATAAAATTATTTGTATTTGTATGGTAAAGTGCTGAGGATGATTTTAAAAGTCTCATAGCCTGTGGGAAGAAGCTGCTCTGCAGTCTGGTGGTGTGACAGCTGATACTTCTGTATCTCTAGCCAGACAGCAGCAGAGTGAACGTGCTATGGCTGTGGTGGGTACTGTCTTTTAGTATCATTTGACAGGTTGCATATCAATGACCTGTGTGCAGTTCAAACAAAGACTAATGTTCCCTTTTCAAGTTGAAAGGTATTCTGCTGATGTCACTTTATCAGTGACTGCTGCAAATGGAATAAGTTTTTTGGTTCCTCTTTTTTTCAGAGATGCCCTACAGGAATGGTGAGTAATCCCAAGTGAGACTTTGTCTCCCTCTAGTGGTGTAACAGCACCTTTTCTTCCCTTAATTGAAGCTCTAGTTTATCTCCTTATCTCATTGTTTAACTGTGACCTCTCAACACTTACAAACAGTTTTTGTTCTCTGTTAAAATGAACTTATTAAAGTGTATTAACTCTTTGTTGTGTTTTACTTCTTGTGGTAACAGCGTGTGTTGCTGGTTGATAACTGCTGGGTTTTGTATCTGTCGTCTTTCTTTCTGTAGCGCGAGAAAAACGAAAAAGCCTCTTTGTCAGTAATGTAAGTGTGCAATTGTTTTCAGTTTCTCTCAACAAATCTAAACTGTTATTTCACAATCTTGTCACTTCTTATTTAAATAGCCTATAAAACATCACATTTACCAGTGAACTCAGCTTGTCTTTGTGTTACTTAGAATGAACTAAATGCTAGATACAAAGGAAGCTGAAAATGTAAACCGTCACATTCTTAGGTTGCATGTCGGTGATTCTCATTCGCTCTGTGCATGACACCCTAGCATGCTTTATGTGGGTCAGACAAAAACATGTTCACTCTAATAACAGTCACTGTGTGTGTGTGTGTGCGTGTGTGTGTTTGTGTTTGTAGCATGGAACATCGAGGCGGAAATACAGCTCCTGCTCCACCATCTTCCTAGATGACAACACAGTCAGCCAGCCCAACCTCAAATATACCATAAAATGGTAAAAACACGATAGAAATGATCTATTACATAGGAAGAGATGTATTATTCGTTATCTACAAATATGTTATATTTCAGTATCTCACAAAAGTGAGTACACCCCTCACAGTTTTGTAAATATTTGATTATATCTTTTCATGGGACAACACTGAAGAAATGACACCTTGCTACAATGTAAAGCAGTGAGTGTACAGCTGTGTAAATTTGCTGTCCCCTCAAAATAACACATCACACAGCCATGTTGTCACATGAAAAGATATAACCAAATATTTGCAAACATGTGAGGGGTGCACTCTTTTTGAGATACTGTAAACCTAATAACATGTGTATTATTTTTCCCTATACAGTGTAGCACTGGCGATTTACTACCATATAAAAAACAGGTGGGGATCCTCACAGTCATTTTCAATACTTACAGTGCAAACGGTATTCTCTGTAAATTCCAAAACTAACTTAAGCCTTGTTTCATTGTTAAGATTTTAATAATTTCACTGAATCAACCATGTAACTGATTTTTCTCATGCCAGGGACACCGAAGGAGGAATGCTGTTAGATATATTTGATGAGAAGCTTCATCCTCTTTCAGTAAGCCTTCATCAGTTTGTATAAGTATCTTTGCTTTGCACATCCTGTTAAATTTGCCTCCATTCTTAAAAGTTAGTATTGGGTCAGATTTTGTTTTGTCTTGTGTCAGTGTATTAATTGTTCTTTTAAATCTCCTCCTTTATGTCGTTTCCTTGACCCTGCCTGTTTCCCTCCTTCCCTCTTTACACCCATATCTTCCCCTCCGCTCTTCACCTCTTTCTTCCATTGCTTCTTCCCTGCCCTCCGACCTTCTTTCAGAAATCAGAGGTGCCGCTGGACTATGACCAGCACGACCCGGAGCAGAAGCAGATCTACCGGTTCGTCCGGACGTTGTTCAGCGCCGCTCAGCTCACTTCTGAGTGTGCCATCGTCACACTGGTAAGATTTTATAACCTAACCCTAAAATGTTTATACCACACATACGCATACCCAAATGTGCATCCTGGGTGGCTTGTCTGATAGAACAAACAAACAGACAAGACAAATTTCTTCAAAAAGCTTTCCCACGAAGGTATGGTGCAACCCGCCTTAAACTGTGCCCACACAAACACACACAGTTTCTGTTTAGGCCCCAGGGGACATTGCACCCTGATGTGTTGAGACAAGCCAGGGATGTGTGTAAATTGGTGATGAGACGGTGCATCCAAAATCCCATGGCGTCGATGTGTGTCAGTGAGACCAGTGATGAATGTGAGATGCCATACAGGAAAGAATGAATGTATACCTCCTGACAGCATTGAGTTAGAACAGATCATCCACCATTTTGAGACCTCATTAGGTCATGATGGAAGTTCCAGGCTTGTAACTATTGTGTTTTTCACACCATTTGAAAAGGCTTTTGTTATTTTTTGTCAAATCATCAATTCGTTTAAATCATTTCCTTTTGCCTTACTTCCAGGCCCAGTTTTCAGTGATGTCTCCCTGTTCCCTGTTGTTGTGCAGGTGTACCTGGAGAGGCTGCTGACCTACGCAGAGATTGACATCTGTCCGGGAAACTGGAAGAGGATCGTTCTGGGTGCTATCCTGCTGGCCTCGAAGGTCTGGGATGACCAGGCCGTATGGAATGTCGACTACTGCCAGATCCTCAAGGATATCACCGTGGAGGACATGTGAGTGTATTTCGTGTTAAGAAAAGGGATTGTTTTTATGTTCGGGACATTGGTTCAGAATTAAGTTAAATATTAGGATTAGCTCAGAACTGGGACAAAAAGGACGAGGGAGATGAATCCCTCAAAATATGGTACAAGGGTCAAGAGCAGACTGCTCGCTCTGAGAAACTCCCTGACGTGTGCTGCTTTCTTAGCTTTTTGCCATTTTTTGGTAGGTAGTGAGTTAATTATTTGACTTTCCATTAAAACCTCGCAGTTAGTTACCAGGACTGTTGCCAGGACATGAACACACATTGTTTGTGGGGATAAAAGGCATGGACTTGTATTGATATTCTGTATATTTTACATGCAAGGAGGCAGATGTTTATTACAGAAAGCCGCAGTCATGTTAGGTGATGCAGAGAGTCTTTCATGAGTCAACGTCCAGCTCCTCCCTCTCAAATAGGAATGAGTTGGAGCGCCAGTTTCTGGAGCTGCTGCAGTTCAACATCAACGTGCCGTCCAGTGTCTACGCCAAGTATTACTTTGACCTGCGATCGCTTTCAGAGTCCAACAATCTCAGCTTCCCCCTGGAACCGCTCAGCAGAGAAAAGGCACAGAAACTAGAGGTGAGACGCTTTCATTCTGCTGTCCATTCACACGCTGTTCATTGTTTTCTGTCTTTTTGTCATTATGTTGCTTTTCATTTCATTTGCTTTCTATTTGTTCTTATTATTTCCTGTTATTCAGTCAATTGCCAATAAAATGTAAAACCACTGTGAAAAATTTGAAGATGTCTTACTTGGGCACCCCCAGTGGTAGTATTCTGTAGTAGAGAAGCAATGCACGCTGCTCTTTCCTACTACTACAGTCTTTGCAGATCAGTGGTGGAAATTGCAAAACAAAGGGACTACAGAGCTCTCTGATTTTCATCAGAATGGTCAAATTTTACTTAACACAAATGTGTCATCAGAAGATTTTTTAAAGTTGCTATATGTTCATAAGCATTCAACAAATAGTGGCTTTACTAATCTAATCTAAGATTATGCAAATAGACTGAAAGGGAAACATTTCTTTAAAAGACATGATTTCTTTCACCTCCTTCATTAAAACCCTTTGCATGTCCTCTCTTCAGGCTATTTCCAGGCTATGTGATGACAAGTACAAGGATGTACGGAGAGCAGCAAGGAAGCGCTCGGCCAGCATGGACAATCTATGTGGGATCAGATGGGTTCCTGCAATCCTCTCCTAACCACTATTAATCTCCCTGTACTTAAAGCTGGCACCAGGCTGGTTGAGAAAACTCTCAAGGCCCACATTAGTGGAGACAGACCAACATGGTTCTGTGTCCGAAAACTTCACTTTGGATACCCAGATAATACCAACATGTGGAATTTGGTGGAGTGATTGAAACCCGAAGTCACCCTCTGGACCTCACAGCTTCAAGCGGGAGGCAAGAAAGTGAAACCACATCTGGAGTAGTTTCTGGTGGTGAGGGGCTTGCCAGAGAGGTTTCAGACTTAACCTAATGCCTTCACAGTGCCTCAACTTCTGCCTCAACTTCTGTTCATGAAAGAGAGAAGGACGTTCCAGGTTGTTATGTCATCTGTGGAGAAAATTCAAGTATTGGACCAACCAACAGCGTCCTGCACAAGACAGATGTGAGCGCTAGGACATGGACCTGTGAAGCTGTCTTAAAGTATGGCACTCAATTCAGTTTTCTGACTAATCTGTGTCTGGCCTAATTTGTAAGATTTGACATAACCTGCCTTTGAGATGGTCCTGCAACTTCACAATGAAGCATATTATTTATTTTACCTGATTATGTGAACTAATGTGAATAGTTACAGCTGCCTGAACCCATAGTACCTGTAGAGTTTCAAAAACGGTAGTGTAGCACTGGAATTTCTACCGGTTATTTATTATAACAATAATACAAGTGTTAGCAAGTTTTCTCCTCGGGAAATCTTTATATTCAAGTTTTACAGTATTTCTAGTGTATTTCTCAATACTCAGGTAGTCTGTTTAATCTTTCGATTTATTGTGATGCAAATAGAAGGAGCCAGAATGAATAACAAGTTGTGACAACATTCCCACATATGTCACTGACGCATTCTGACATACTTATGGACATAATCAAACAATCATTAAGAGGTTCCAGTATTCATCAGATTTTGGTTACATCTCAACATGACTTGGTCAAGATGTTTTAGCAGCAGCCCCATGGAAGCTTTGAGTGGATTAAGCAGACCTCTCTGCTGACATCTAGTGGACATTTGTTGGAAATTCTTCATTGGGAATGACCCCTTGAGATGCACATGCCTGTTTTCAAGGGGATCCTCAATGACAAATCAAGTACAATATAAGAACAATTAGACAAAACATTAAACAAAACACAGAAATAACAACAAGATGATCAAACGATAATAAATTTAAATAAATATCTAATAAAAAGACCTACTAAATCAGCATTTGAGCATTGCGGAAAACGACCATTTCAGGGGATTTAAATGGTCAGTATATTTAGCACCAAAATATCCTGTTCTGTGAAACTCAACCTCAAATCAACAGAATAAAAGCCAACAGTTCAGTATAATGGTCTGAGAGGTGTAAGGAGGCACAGCACTGCTTTGTTCTTATTTCGGCACCATAGAGCTAGATAACAAAACATTCCATCTCCAGTACATTTGGAAAGGCATAAATAAAAAATCTCCAGTTTCATGAATCTCACGCTCAATAGCCCCTTACCCCAGTGTCTGCTTGTTTGATGCTGATCATTTAATTTAAATTGAAGGAATACAGTACATCGATGTATGCAGTCCTTTTTAAAACCCAGCAACTAAAAATGCATTTGCATGAACCTACAAACAAAGCTGTTTTTCTTCTTCCTCACGAGGTCACAGCTTTGAGTTATCAGGTAACAGACACTCTTACCTTGCTGAGGAAAAGGGAACGGAAAGTTAACTTTTCAACAGTAGTCTGGACCAAAGAAAACTATGAAATGTGGGTGTGATCATAATACATGACCTCATAACACCACAAAACCTAAAAGAATTGTATCTCTTCTTTCGAGCAGGTGGTTTATAGTTGGAAACACAGTTCTTTATAAAAACAACATTTGGATGTCACAAGTATGATCTTCCAGTAATCAGCTTTCTCCAGTGTGTCAACAATAACAATGTGTCCTGTTGATCCGTCCTTAAGAAATAGTGTCCATGGAAAAAAGCACCAGTCATGGTGTACGCCCCAAAATTCAGAATGGTCCAGATTACTAAAAGAATAGAAATAAGCCACTATGGGTGTATTCATTCACTGTAAAATTATTTTGTCATTGCCTGTAAAATCAGAATTATTATGTGGAACATGCAAAAATTGGACAAATGTGAAATAATTGCAGCACACTTGTACACTTTTCAAGATGACGTAACTTTTTAATCAAGATCAAGACTGTTGAGCCAAGTCCTTAGAAGTATTTAAAACTGTATTTCCATTTTCAACTGCTGCAGGCAAATAACTGATCAGGTTCTGATGGTTTTTTTCTCGTTTGTCTGAAAACTAAAGCACTAAAATGTAATTATTTTGCATATGAACTTTGTACAATGTATAAAGAGTTCAAACTGAGACAGGGCAATTGTGAGCTATTTAAGGATGGGTTGATTTGTGTTTTTAATAAAAGAAAATGCTCTTGTCTAATAATTCTGTTTTTAACAAGTGATTTGCAGATTTGATACATTTCTGACAATGAGCAGAGGGTTTTGTTTCACAGCATTAAATATTAATAGATTTTAAGTGTCTACTAAAATAAGAATCATTATTAACTGTCTTGTGATTATTACCTTAATGTGATTTAGAGAATGACTCAATGCCATTTAGCTGTCTGACTTTATTTTATGATTGTCTATTACAAGCCTGCCTACGTGTGATTGTCAGCTTCCAGTAACGTTGACTGGTACCTTGACATCCCAACAATGCTTTGATGGCAGCCTGTTAAGAATAGCTCTCGCCACAGGTCCTGACCTAAGAGTGTGAAGCAGAAAGAAAACATTAGAGGTGACTGTATTTAGTGGCAAGCTGTGAGGGTCAGCACTGTAGTTTTGGAACAGTATTAAAGGGGACAGCAACTCGGGAACTTCTCCCTGATTTAGATTTGTCCGTTTAAAAGAAGCTTTTCTTGAGCGGTTTGGGTTGTTTTCTGCGGGATCAGGGATAGTGCTGAACAACGAGGATGATAAGAGCAACAGATCTCTTCATCACTATCAGTCACAGTGTCTCCTTTATGGGTACGTTTTTTCTTTTGTAGTTAACAATACTGCCTATTAGCACCTAAGCTATGTTAGTATGTCAGTATTTATTTTTTAAAAGATGGCAATAACACATTCTTTAACCCAAATCAACAGTAGATGTAAATGTCTCTGAAGACTCTCATTTATCCAGATCATATTTACCCAAGGTGGGTTAAAATCAAGGGCAACAGGACTTTGAAGATACTCAAAAGGCCTGAACAGAAGAAGCCTCTTGTATGAGAGGCAAAACATCTCAGTTTCTTCAGCCAAGTCCAGTTGCCCTTGATTTTAACCCACCTTGAAATATAAAGTGCTCTCAGCTTAAACAAATTTCTTAATCCAAGTTGTGATTAAGGTTAAGACTTCCGGTAGGATTTCTGTGCTTGGTTATGATTTTCTTCTTTAGTTACTTCCTAGTATGGTGAATTGTGTCTCCTCTCTCAGTTACGAATTTTGTGTTTTTGCCTCTGTCATTTTATAATAATCTAGATGTTCTACATTTAATAAGATATATTTTAATTTGATGCTTTTCTTGTTTGCTTTTCTTTTGTTTCATCATCGTCATTGTGTCTTTAAATCCTATTTTTTCCCCTCGATGTAATCTGTAATTACCTCACTGGGATCATTTAAATTTCATCTTCATTTAATCTAGTAGTCTTTATTACTGGATCATCTCTTTTCCATTGCAGGCAAAATCTGGTGGATGTTGATGCTGGTTTTACGTCTGCTAGTCCTGCTGCTGGCTGGCTTCACCCTCTTTAGTGATGAGCAGGAAAGATTTATCTGCAACACCATCCAGCCAGGCTGCTCTAATGTGTGTTTTGACGTATTTGCTCCTGTATCCGTCTACCGTGTCTGGCTCTTCCATCTTATTCTTCTCTGTCTCCCCCATGTGCTGTTTGCAACCTACGTCATGCATAAAGTTGTGTCGTATCCCTCTCCTGGAGGTTTCTGCAGCGACAGGAGTCGAGGAGCTTTACCTTTCACCCTTGAGAACTCCATGTCCTTCCATAAAGCTCCACCTCACAACCCCCCACTAGAATGGCGAGTGCCACGCTTCTACTGCGCCTACGTCCTGGTGGTGATTCTACGGATCCTTATAGAAGTGGTTTTCGGTGCATGTCAGTTTTTTCTCTTTGGTTTGTCCATTCCTAAGAGATTCCTCTGTTACGAAGCTCCCTGCACATATGGGGTGGAATGCTACATCTCCAGACCAACTGAGAAGACTTTAATGCTCAACGTCATGCTGGGTGTCGCCTCCTTGTCTATTCTGCTAAGTTTGGTTGACCTGGGGAGCTCCATGAAGGCGATGGTGAGATGGAGGAGGAAAAGGGAAATGTTTATGGAGGAGATGAGTAAAGGAGAGCAAAGCAGTGTTTTTACAACGACAACAATCAGTGAAGACAATGATGTTCTTTTAACCAGAAGAATCAGCCTGAGTGGGAGCTCAAAGAATGGTCTCAAAGAGGAAAAACATGCTGCTGCTGTTGTGCCAAATGGTGAACGTCTTCCTACAAAGGTGGATGGTGGAACCGTAATTAAAACCAGTGAATCCACTAATCATAAGAGGCCAGAAAACAAAGATGCTAAGGCCGAGATGTCTTGGTCGCCCACTCCTGTGAGCGCTCCAGTACCAACTCACTTTGTCCTTCACAGCTATCTGAAACCTCCACTGTACCGTTGCCCCGACAAGGAGCCGCCACCAAACTCTACGGTGCTAACACCTATGGGTGTCAAAAAGCTGGGGCAGTACACTCCAGGTGGGGCAAACTCAGGCCAACAGTCTGATGGCAGTGAATCTGAAGACAAGAGGGCATGGGTGTAGTTGACTGGTGACTGCTGTACACCTTCCTTTAAAAGGCCCGGATATTTAGCTTGAACTATTGTTGTCAGCATGAATTCATATGAAAGAGAAGATCTGCTAGAAATTATAAAGCTGCACTAATGAATATTTTTATTAATGATGAATCAAATGACTATGATGTGAAAGGTGTCGTTTGTCCTGACAAACCCACAGAGATACTATTAGCAACTTTTAGTTTTACAAAATACTGCTCTCATCAATGCAGCTGTTTTCAAGAAGGTAAAATAAAACCATTGTACTCAACAACATCTAACAGTAGTAAGCTATATAGCTTAAGCAAGCTAATTAACAAAGTATGCTAGCAAGTATCTGACATTAGCAAGCTAAAGAGACATATTTCTTCTCAGGAGTTGGTTGAGATGTAAAAGAAAAATAAAGATTGGACTCACATTTATCTGGTGGCTAGAAAAATGACAAATCAATGATACTGTTGAACCATATCTGCTTGATATGTTATGGTTTGCTATTCACTATAGGCATAGCAACTTTATAATACGATTGTAAGTAAGTAAAGTGTTTCCAGCATGTTCCACTGCCCAGGAGTGACCAAAAAGTCAAGGAGTGTGGCTTTGAAAAAAACATAGTTTAGCTTAGCTAAAGGGCTCATAGGACACAAATGTTACATGGACACATACACATGCTCCACAACAGATCAAAAATCAGCCACCTTGTCTCAATCTTCTGTTTTGAGTTTTCACGTGGCAAAAAAACGACATGTTGTTTTTCTTGATGCATGCTTTCTGAATGTTGTTTTTTTGTAATAATAAAATTACTAAATTGGTCAGATATATATTGTTCAGTAAAATGCAATTGATTTACATTGTTTTAATTTGGCATGTTTGCTTAACACCCTGAACTGAGAAGATCATGTGAGAAAATGAGGCACACAGGCTGACCTTGACAAAGAAGTATTACAGTGCCCAGCTGTTGTCTGGATGACTGAGTGCTGGCAGCCATAACAGACACACTGACCTGAACTCTGACCTCCCACGTGGCCGCTAGACGACCCAGCCGTGACCTGACTTAAGCCAGCCCTGCTCAGATGACACAAACCTTAAACCCTCTCGCTACCATAATTTGATATTAACTCAGAATGCAAAACAAGTCACTACCATTTGACCTATAGTATACAGAAAGTGATTTATGACCACATTTCACTTTACAGTTGATACAATCCTGTATGTAGGATGTTTGTGAAGATTCTCAGTCAACTAGATCATACCTGGACTTGAACAAAAATACTTAAAGATCTCCACTCCTGTCTGATCAAAACAATGACAATGACAAAAAAATGACAGCTCCTAAAGCCCCAGCGTAGCCGTGAACCTAACACATGCCTCATGCGCTTCTCATTCTTCTTCTGCTGTGGTATTTGGGGCAGCAAAGACATGCAGAAACATTAGCTGGCTGGCCAGTGGTTGGTCGGGGTGCTCAGAGAGAGGATTGTACAGTCATTGGTGGAGGTCAAGAGGTCAGACAAGTAAACCTGGCGACTCTAGACATGCGTCAACCCGTATCTCCACAAAACAGTGTTCCTAAAGTGACAGTATGTGTCTGTTGTTGCTGAGCCTCCGACAACTTGTCAACCTAACACTCTCACGCGCAAAACACAGACAGAAACAATTTTGCAAGCTATGTGTCCTTGGCAAAATCCCCCCCCCTAAAACAAATAAAACTTCCCCATCCCACAAACAGTCTGGTGGGATGGGTTAATCATTTGATAACTTTTAAAATAATTGAAAAATAAGAATTGATAATATTTTCAAATTAAAAAGATAATATATAACATTTCATATACCTGTTTGAGACTAAGCCTTGTTGTTTATGTGATTCAGTTCAATATACAATATACATTATGAAACTTACATTTTCAATGCTTGTCAAGTTATTTCCAAAGGACTGAGCATTACCTGAAACTGAAATGATCCAGAGTTTTGAATTGTGAATTGTGTAAGTTCTGTCATGTGTCTGTGGCTTCTTCAGGTGCATACTCCCATCTCATGGGTGACAGACGGAGGAGATTGAGAAGTAGGAGAAAAACTCAACATTGACCACAACAGCACATCAAAGGAGATGTCAGAGGCATCAAAAATATCGATTACCCAGCATCCTCTTCACCTCTGCGGTTGTAGTTTAGATGAATTGGGGGGGGGGGGGGGGGGTGTCCCTGATGACTATGGCTTGGAAAACAAAAAATCCATTCTATTCTCCTTTGATGCTGACGATAGAGGGATCGTGGGGTGGAAAAGAAAAAGAGTGATCCAAGAGTGTTGGTTTTGTGCAAAGGACGGCTGGATGGCTTTGAGGTCTTGTCTTTGCTTTGACGTCTTTTCCACAGATTCGTTCTTTAAGGAGCGTGGCTGACATAAGACATGCTGATCTTGAATATACTTCTGCAAATAGGCTGCCGACCGCCATAAAAAGGATATGAAACTGAAAGGCTGCTTGGGCTGAGATCAGCCTTGACTTGCCTGTACCTTGGAGAAAGCTAAAGGTCTTGTGTGTGCCATTTAAAACACCAATTAAATTGATTTTACAACCTTGGTACGATTATCAACCCTCACAGAGCAGATTAAAACTCATAAGCTTTGTATTCGATCAAAGGGGCACTTCTGTGACTTATTATGGCATTTTCATAGATGGGGGATTACTGAGATAGGCCTACAGAAGAGGTGGCGATATCCACACTTGTAGTCTCTAGTATAAGCGACGCTCCAAAACCATTGGATCCTACACTTTCCATAATGCAACCCAATAGAATTTTGTCCTTAAATGCTCAAGTTTTCAAGCTCCATGCACCCAGTTAACACAAGTGTTCTAACTGTAAAATAATCCTGCCGACCCGGGGTCTTTTTCTCAGATATAAGAAAGCTCCATCAAGAGTCACAGAAGACACAACTGCTTTCACAACTCGACTCCTTGGGACAAGAAAACTGACCTTCGACCTTTGTGTGTAAAATTAGTGGAGTGAGAATTAAGTCAGCCAAAAGATTAAGTTCAAACTAATAACTGTCTTTGAGCAAGATTTCTGTTATGTGATATAAGTAGCAGAAAAAGATAAGATATTTACATGACCTTTAGCATGTCACTTCTACATCCCTCCCCCTGCATGACTTTTCACACAAGCATGTGAGCTGAAGGAATCTTAAATTCCAACTAAATTTATTTATAAACCTCGTATTTTACTGACTTTGACAATTTCCTGACATTTCATCAGGTCAAAACTGCCACACGTCCAACAGTCCCTATAACTGAAACCTTAACTAGCCTAATAGCCAACCCAACGGCATGCTAACTGTATGTTAAGCTAGCGTTGGTAAGCTAACATTCCTAAAGTTCATAATGTTTAGCCTGTAAAATAAAGCAGCTATAATCAGTATTTCTGTATTAACAATGGATCACATGACTACCAGTATGTGAAATGGTTTGCTCGTAGTGATGGACCCACAGAGAATAATCACCCAACTCTGCAGTTCCCTAAACTCAATATACAACTGTTTGATGCAGTCTATGGTGTGTAGGCCTCCACCTTCATTCCACTACCTTAAAAAGGCAAAAGAAAAATCTGTTATTGCACTACCTTGACAAAAACAGCACATCACTAAATATATTCTCTTACTTTGATTATTTTCTTTTCTTTGGCTTCTCTTTAGAGTCATGTGTAGTGGTTGATCCTAACAATCTTTGGGGCAGAAAGCAGTAAGGTCATCTGTCCATCACCAGACATGTCAGTTAGGCCTAGAAGAAATGTTTGTTTTACACTGCACTGTAAATCATCCACGACATGACAATAGCTGTTATTGAAAGCAAAAGGTAGCATTGTATACATCCTGAAACGATAGGCTCCCACTGCATGTGACCTTAAACAGCCCATAGGTCATTCAGACATTTTAACATGATTTATTCCCAACCATTCAGTCTGACAACTAATTAGATCACTAGACAAAGGTGCCATTCATAAACATCCTAATTGGAACCAGTGAAGAAGAGTTGGGTTATCTGAATTTCACCAATAGGGTCTCTCCATGATGATCTCTTCCTGGACCTGCAAGTCAGCGCCTTGTTTATGTTCAAACCCCTAAACCCATTTCCTCTGTTGATCTTTTGCTTTGGGCCCCCTGCCACAACACAAACGCACACATACACACCACTGGACAAGGAATCTAACCAGTCACATGGTTAACAAGCAGTGGCAGAGCAATTTGTCCTCATTAGAAAGAGCAAACAGGGCCTGATGTCTCTTAATTTGATGTATGTAATTATAGAGGGAGACAAATGTGGCCTATGTCAAAGTTGTCACAATTAGACCTCGGTATGGAAATAACTGATTGGTTTACTTCAGTATATTGTGTTCCATCACGATTAATTGGGTACGCACAGAAAAAATGGGCCATTTTAACTGGTCCTTTAGTGACAGAAATGCCCATTTGTTTTGTTGTCTTAACCCTGAAGCCAAGATAAATGTACAACATCACTGGCATCGAGTCTTTAATTTCTGGCTCCCTCATTTTTTCAAACATCCCAAATAGTATAGGCTTTATTTGTTTTTTTTATGCACAAGATATAGAATATGTTACTTCAATGCATCAGCGCAACCATAAAAAACCTGGAGTCTTGTATTTGAATAGTTCATGTGTAGCTCTGAATATAAAACTGAATATTTTTAGACTCAACGCTACATTAAATAAACTTTGTAGATTCAGTTGTTGAGTTCACGTGTGCTGCACTGGTGGTCCGTCAGTGTGTATTCATTTTACCACAAGGTGGCAGCATAATACAACTTCATCTGTCTCCTTTCACCCTTGTGGAGTTCAGTGGAGTCTTCTCCAGAGGTTGGAGCGCATCAGCTTTTGTTGTGCACATCACTCATGTCATTTGAGTTTGAATTGAACTTAGAAATACTATGCATAGTCTCAAAACATTTGAAGACATACAGTATTTTCCCACATTAGTGGCAAGAACAGACCCCATTTGCAGTCATTACGCACAAATGTTTAACATTTCCTGAACCCCAATTCCGTGATGATACTGACAGACAGACTGTCACGCTAAATGGACCACCCACTGCACGGCAATAATTACATCTACGCGCGACATAGAGTGTGTCAGCCTGCAGTTACACTGTCTGTCCCTCCTTACTGAGGTCTTAATGATAGGCCTGATCATCTCTACCTTGTAAAGCATCCATCTCAACCTCAACAGTCCACTTAAACGCCAACGAGCATTTATTGCCATGTATGGCGAAGCAGATATTTGCTCTAAAATTTTGGAAATTTGCCACTGTGGTCAGATGATTTGTTTTCACTTGTTCCGATGATTTTCTTGAACAAAATGTCGCTTCTGGTGGCCTTTTCAGCTTTGCTAAAAGTTAATAGACTTCTAAATGTGTTAAACAGGCTCATGTAAAACGTGACATATTTAGCCCGGATCAGGGGTTTAATAGAGGACAAAAGTTAATAACAAGACTAAAGCGCAGGGGGCATTAATCTGAGAAGACCACCTGTAGTGCCCCCATTGCCATGCCGATGTTGTGTCTCACAGCATGTGGATCCTCAACACCTGGGAGGTTTAATAAAGCTTACACATCCACGTGGGCCCGATGGCAAGTTCTAAAAGTTAACTTTTATAAAAGTTGTAACTTGCCGTTTAACTATTGTTAAATATAAATGGACTTCTGTCATAACTCAGCCATTGAGATCTATCAGCTTGTGCGCTCAGCCACACCAGGCAGAACGGCAGTCCACACCATTCAGATTGTGTTTTTAAAGCATGCATTACAACAACACATTGAAAAACATTTAGTGTCCAGTCTCACAACAAAGTTTTGGCAAGAATGACCAAGACGCACGAGGAAAAATTCAATAAAAATTGTTTTATTCTCAAAATAAAATCTTCTATCAAAGTGGAAATTATACATATTTACAATCTCGTAAATTTTTATATGTACAACATATGTACACCAATAATTATATAAATACACTTTATGCGCTAATGCAACCCGTATGAGACAGTATTAAGGCAATTGATTAAAGTAAATCCGTGTTGTGGAGAAAAACAGCCGAGGGATGGCCCAATTTTAAACAGAGCATTCTCATTATGAATCTTATGTTTAAGACACAGCGGTTCTTTACAGTAAAAAGAAGTGCCTCAGCTATACCATGTAACCTATCGACAAGGGGGATCTTGTCAGCTGTGCGCATTCAATTAAGCCCAGATAAGACTCTGCATTCTTCGGTGCCAGGTACATTGTTCTGCTGCTGACAGTCTCATTATTTAAAGAGAAGCCATTAGGCGCTCATTAATGTGCTAATTACTACACGCTGATGGACAATCCCAACACAATTAGTCACCCCCTCCCCTACCCAACTCCCTCTATTCAAACCCATGGATGTCATTTGGATAAGGCCAGGAAGAAACACTTTCCATAAGTATAAGTCCAAACTGATCTTCTAACTTTTATAAGCACAACGGAGCAAACATGACCACGATTCCAAAAACAAAAAGGTTCACATTAGGGTAGTGCTCATGGCCATAGTTTCATCTAAACTGGTTATTTGGTGACTCACCTCGAATAATTTACCAAACCAATTTAACCAAATAAAACATTTAAAATTAGTGCCACTTTCTCCCCAGAAAGAGCTGATTCGCGCTGGTTTGAAGTCTCTAGTGTCAAATGACATAACAACCCTGTTCAAACCCGGGACAGTGGCATCTGTTTGGGACAGGAGACGGAGCTGGCCGTCCCGGATCTCCAGGTCAGTCCCGTGCTCACGTCACTGTACATGGAGCCCGCTGAGGCTTTACTCCCCCAGCAGCACCGCGTGCAAAAAGTCCTCCAGGAGTCCAAGGTTTTCCCGGACCAGATCCAGGCCCCTGAAGTGATGCCCACCAGGAGGCACATAAAGTATTTCAACATGAACACAGCATAGTCCGGCTTTTGCCTGTTGGGGTCCGTCATGCAAGTACAGTTGTGCGTAATTTCCCACGTCTGTCTGTTATGCTGCTCGTAAAAGTAACACGCCACTATGACAGTGGCTGGGACGGTGTATAAAACCGTGAAAACCCCTATCCGGATCATCAGCCTCTCCAGCTTGTCAGTTTTGGTGCCACCTTGCTTGATAACACTCCTGATCCTGAACAGCGAGACGAACCCGGCCAGCAGAAACATGGTACCTATGAACAGGTAGATCACCAGCGGCGCCAAAACAAAACCTCGCAGGTTATCCAAATTCTGGTTGCCTACGTAGCAAATTCCAGCCACGGAGTCTCCGTCCACAGAGCTCAAAGCCAAAACTGCGATGGATTTCATGCTGGGGATGAGCCAGGCAGCCAAATGAAAGTATTGTGAGTAACTGGCGATGGCCTCATTCCCCCACTTCATACCTGCGGCGAGAAACCAAGTGAGGGACAATATCACCCACCAGATCGAGCTGGCCATGCCGAAGAAGTAAATAAGCAGGAAAACGATGGTGCACAGCGCAGGACCCGTGGTTTCATAGTGGATGTATTCGGCGCCGTTTTCTCTGTTGCAGGCCACTTCCTCATGCCCGGCAATCAGTCTAACAATGTATCCAATGGACACAAACATGTAGCAGGCTGAGAGGAATATAATGGGGCGCTCTGGGTATTTGAACCTCTCCATGTCGATTAAAAAAGTCGCCACAGTTGCGAAAGTGGAGATGAAACACAGGACGGACCACAAGCCAATCCAGAAGGCGGTGAAAGTTCTCTCTTCTTGGGTGAAGTAGGGATTGTGGCACGGCATGGCACAGTTCAGGATCTGTCCTGTCTTGACGCGGTTGTGCAGCGGGTGGCCGTCACTGGTCACTGGCACCATGGGCGCACGGCAGAAGCATCCCGGCTCACACGGTGACGCTGCTGGTTTGTGTTTCCCGGGGATGCCGCGACCGTAGCCGCTCTTCTTCCTGGGGTTGTACGGCTTCTGGGGCCGGTTGGTCGGCTTCGCCACCACTGGAGAAGCAGTGGTGGTCTGGCTCCGGTTGTAGTCCATGCACAGCGTGTCCTGGTTACCTTGCTCGGGCAGCAGGTCGCATCTCATCCGGTCTGGCCACGGGAAGCCGTACTGTCTCATCAGCGGAGCGCAGCCAGCTTTGGCCCGCTCACACACGCTCCTGCACGGCGGTAGAGGCTTCTTGTAGTCCTCCAGGCAGATCGGCGTGTACATGCTGCAGAGGAAGAAGCGCAAGTCCGGGGAGCACTTTATCTCCACCAGCGGCCAAAACTGGTGCACCTCCAGGCCGGCTTCGTCCTGCGTGTCGTGGTTGAACTGGTTGGGCATGTATGTGTAATTGTAGCCTATTCCTTTGCACAGAGGTACGGAAATCTCCTGGCACTGGAGCTCCTTGGCCGCCATGCACCTCGTACCGTGCAGGACGAGTGTTAACATCACGCACCATCCCAGGCTGGCCCTCTCCATCGTTTCTTTCTGTGCGCGATTCGTCCTCGATAAAGTGCCAGCGAACTTGCGCTTTGCAAGTAGGCTGCAAGTCCGATTAATCCAGGGATGCTGCTGAACTCATACTAGAGCGCAAGATAGTTTGATAGTCTGGAGTATCTGTGTTATCCCAAAACAAACGGTTTACTAACACACAGTCTGGGATTCTGCCAGTGTGTCTCTCCCTTTGTGTCGGTGTAGCAGCACCGCGTCTCTCTATGCATGCTTTACTACTGGTGCGTGCGTTGGGTTTTATACGGGAGGAGAGAGGACACTCCTCCTGCATGGGCGGGGAGGGAGAATAAGTCAATCAAGGGTTCCTTCTATAGGTGTTTGTTTAAAATGTGCACCCTGGAGGAAGGGCTATAATCACTTTGTCCCTGTTTGTCCCCCCAACGACACACACACATACCTACACATAGGCTCCATGCCTTTTCCAAAGAAAGAGAGGGGTAGTTATAATACAATAGAGACATTAGAAAGAAATGTAATTAGGGATGCAGACAGAGGGGAGTAAACTAACATAAACCAATCCAACTTACTATGCTGGCAGGATGCAGGATGCGCCTGAATATATCATAGTATTATCGATGCAAATATGTGCTTAAGGGAAAAATTGAAATGCTGTCCTAAAAGTATGGGTCCATGTCCACGGTGTCCATGTGTTTGTGTTCTTAAAATTTAAAATGGTTAATTCAAGAGTATGACAAGATGACAAGCCATAATGCCAGACAACACTGAATGTCTGCATACTCACTGCAAGTCATCTGGATATAAACGTTGATTAAGTTTCTTAATTTTGATTGTAAAATACTGAATTTTGTGTCTGCAGTTTACTTAAAATTAAAAATGTTATTATGAAAAAATACTCAAGTTTAAAAGTTCCCCATATCTTCTATTTCTCATTTTCAGTTGTACTTATTGTTCCTTTTTTTTTAAAATTATGTTTTAAGGAATGTAAATTCAACTCAGAGCAGTCGCATTATTCCAAATTTCAGCTCTGACATTTACAAAGAAAGATGCAGTAAATTACTTTCAGAATCACTGTTATAGTTTAAAGTCTATATTCTAATCTGATTATTAGATTTTATTTTCTCATTCCCAGTTCTTGTGAATTCTTACCAAATGTAGTGAGGAGAAAGAAATGGTTTTAACCACTGTAAAAAATACGAGTGGATAGATTTTTAATCCCTTCAGAAAAGTCTTTTGACTGAAACCCCGGTGTTTAATTTTGCTGCAAAGTTTATGAAAAGCCTATGTATCAACGTTTATTGGCAAATGCTTCTGAAAGCCACAAGGGAGCACTGAGACTGTCCGTCATTCACCCTCCAATGAAGTGAACGACTTCCTGTCTCCTCTGTGAATCTGACAATGTGCAAAAATGTGCATGTGGCCTCAGAGTTGGATGCATGTGTGAAATAATGAATGGAAATGTGTCCACGTGCTTATATGTGACAGCACGAGAATATGGCTAAACAGAGGGAGAATGTGTATGTGTGTGGTAAAGGAGGTTAATGTGGTCTTGTTAGCCCACAGCAGGGGGTTGTCTTGGTCTAAAGGGGGGGGGGGGGGGGGGGGGGGGGGCTGTTTGTCTTAAGGCTGGTGCCAATGTTGTGAAGCAGGACAGTGTGTGTGTGTGTATATAAACAGTTTCAGGGCTCAGCCTTAAGAAAATAAGCTAACACGGGCAGATGCAGCATTGTGATAACACTAATTAAAGTCATTCACACTTCTTGGAATGAATGATTGGATTCATCAGCTTCAATAGAAGCTGGGACAGTTTGGCTGACAAGCAAAGTGTTTCCAGTGCACAGGTTTTATCAGAACTGATTTGCCCCAAACTCCAATATTTACTAAAGGATGCTTGTTTTAGCTCAGTATGGGCTCCCAGCTGGGTGGAATGTATTGTGAAAAGATTATTTTAAGGGTGCTGAGTTAGCTGGCAATCACAAAAACAATTATAAATTGAGTTTCAAATACTTCCCTGTAACTTCTTTGCAACTTCCCAGCACCCCCTGTATTCTCCTATTGGCACCAATACACACCTGGCTGAAAAGTCTGACATAGAATTAAAAGCAATATACTATTTGTATTCACAAAGGTGTGAGATTGAGTTGCCCTATGTCAAAACAGTCAACATCTCCCATCTCCTCACAAGTACATTCACAAATATGCAGATACTGCAAGCAAATGCCACAAAAGATGGTTGCATATAATCACGGCAATGTTCATCTGTAACTTCTCTTGGCTCGAACACATAAACGTGTGGTTAGATTCAAGGGCGGATCTTTAAAAAATGTTTTATAAATAAAGTTGCTGAGAGTCTGAAAAAGGTAGGCAGTGGGCCAAACCACTATGAGGCATATTAGGGGGTACATAATCGTTCAATACTAAAAAAAAACATATTAGATTTGTAGTAGAAAACAAGAGTTGTTTGTGTACCAAATAAAATGAGTAGATACTGATGGACAATAGTGGTTTTATTTAATTTTTTTGATCAAAATTATTGCTAGGGGCAATCCAGTAATCACTGAACTTTGGTAGGGACGTGTTACTACTAAGTTCTACATCCTTGATTAGGTTCCCTTTGTCAAGTTTAGTTAGTTTTATCTCGAAAACCCCAAATCATACCTTTTCTCAGAGGGCTCTATTTCTTGTTCAAATGTTACCTCAATGGAATTTTTCAGTGAAGTTGAAATACTCATTTGTGATCTTTACATAAAAATCTTGCTGTGTGCAGCTTTTAGATTCTAGACAGCTCACAACGTCAACAATTTTCAGTACTTAGCTTTACTTTCAGACCAGCCATCATTTTGTCTGAACAGATGAACATCTTCTAATGGTGGAATGAGACTCTGCAGACATTCACATGTTCATGCAAGGACTTTCTGGGGCTGATCCAGATGCCTCACGCTGGGCCCGCCGTCTCCAGCCAAGCTGAGAACCGCAGGTGAAAGTCGTAGGAAACAGGTGCCTCCTCCTCCCACCAGGGCGAACAGAATAGCAGAGTGAGCATCAGTTACACCAATCGCTGTCTATCAGAGTGGAACCCGTATTGATTAACAAGGCTGATAGACTCTCAGGCCCCAGCCACCAACTGTCGGCTACGCCTCCCGCCTTCTGTGTGCAACGCCGATAGTGGGTATAGGGTTACGCGCTGGCTCCCTGCATACCAAATTTAAAGGGGTGGAAATGGAATTACTGCATCTGTTTAGAAGTCAATTTCTGCATTCTCCAAGCTGCCCACCCTTCCAATCCTCTGTCTAACTTCCCTTCTTACCTCTCTCTTTCCCCCCTGATTCTCCCAGGGCTCTCAAAGTTCATGACGCCAAAGAAAGAAGGCCAAGGGAGGGGGGTTTTCACAGAGTTACTGAGGCGTGCTGTGAAACTCTGAAATGTTTGTCTTTGTAACCTCCTCATGGGAAGTTTGGCCTTGTGATACTCTCAAACTCTACTGTCCTTCCTTTAACATAATGTGCTAAATTTGAGTTGATTGACACTGACATGTGCCATTGTGGGGACGCACAACACAAAATATATCCAGCCTGTAGGGCTGACAGCCAATCAGAGCAGTAAGTAAGTAAGTACATAAAGGTTTCTTTCAATAACACAACAAAGTAAACATGTTGAATTATGACATATATATATATATATATAAGAGATTGTTGGCATCTACATTTTAAACTTGCCAAATGTATTCCTGTACAAATGACATTGCTTTACAGTCATCTCCTCAAAACAGGTCTTGATTTGCCCAATTCATTCTGCAGCCGCCAATAACCAACCTGGCTCACTTTCATTGAGACCCACAAGTCCCCCCTGAATATCTTTCTGAAGCTATCATTTAAATAAATATTTAAACAGTGTCACATCTGTCCCCAGGGTAATTTAGTTGATTTAAAACTTAATGTGTGTATTGGAGAAGAGAGTGTAATTAGATCTGATGTATGACTTCAAGATAGGACATGGAGGCCCCTCTGACTTTTGAAGATGTTTACTTTCCTTTAGTTTGGACACACATTTAGACGCCACTCTTCATCTTGGAGGGAACGTTGCTGTCACTGAGTTCTCACTGGCTGAATAAATAATCAGAGTATAAATAATAACTATATTGAGAGTTTTAGAAAAATCTATGCATCCGTTTTTGGAATATGGAATGATTCCACTGCATAGATGGTCCAGACTTTGGAAACGTAATTTGGTCTATGAATAACTCACTTAACACAGCTTGTAACTACAACACAGAGAAACTTAATTTGACCAGGAGACGCTGAAGGAGAAACTCAGGTTTAATTTCTCAGCAGTTTGTTTTATGTGGGTTTTTTTTGTTTTACTTTTGAGTGTCTCATTATTGAGAGGAACTCATACTTTTATGGCAATGACCAGGGGGAATTTTAGTTCCCTGTCATGTGTGTCCATTTTGCTGCTCCTGGTCAGTGATGGATGGAGGATTCCTCCCTTCCTTCCTTCCACAGGTTAGATTCCTCTGCAGTTAGCTGTGTGTTTACTTAAAGACCAACTACTAATCAGCCTGAGGTAGGATGTGAGGCTTAAAGCAGTCACCCTTGACAGCATGCGCACACACACACACACACACACACACACACACACACACACACAGACTCTGACAGTGTTCCTCTGTTGACAGTGTGTGTATTGTATTGGCTCACCTTCCTTCCGCTCATTAACCAGAGCAAACAGTGACACAAAACCCTCCCATCCAATCAGTCTACCGCTGGGTAGGATCATGACAGCCAGGTCAGTTAACCAACCCCTGACACCAAACACACACACACACACACACACACACACACACATACACAAACAGACGCTCTAACCTGCTAGATAAGAGCTAAGAAGTCTAAAGTATAAAATAGGCTTATATGCACTGAAGATCCCCCAGGACTAACATGCCGTTACACAAACATGTGTTGAAGGATGGGCTAATCTCTCTGGTTAATTTTAACATATGACCATAGTGGGGGGGAAAACCTTTATTGGCCAAAATCCAGGAATAAAGGCAGGAGACAAGATGGAAGTAATATTATGTAGCCTGACACTTGTTAAGTCAAGTCAATTTTATTTATATAGCTCCAATATAAAAAATCACGATTTGCCTGAAGGGGCTTTACAATCTGTAAGGCAAACACCCAACCCCATCTATCCTTAGACCCTCTATTTGGATAAGGACAAAGTCCCCCAATAAGCATGAAAAATAAACACATTTAAAAGCCTACTAGAAAATTAAAGGGATGAAAACAAAATACTGCTGTTATACAAAACGTTTCTTTCTAACTAAAGTCTGCAAATGAAAGAATCAAACAAGTGTGATACCACTTCTTTTGACTTCACTTGGACAAACTAGGAAAAGACACACGTTTTAATTAATCAGAATTATCCTTTTAACAACCCTTTGTATAACTGTACAACTGGGAACGGGGCCTGAAAAGGAAAGTAAGGGCAAATTAATAAGTTATAAAACTGAAGTGTTTTCTTTTTTCAGGGGATGAAACCAGTTGCCAAAGTCTGACCATTTGTCTCCATTTGTCTCCTACACCCTCCA